CGTTATCTGATGGTAGTTGTCGATTCGCTTTTTCTTGAAAAGCTGAAGGAATATAACGTACTGGTTTGTCAATGATGCCGTATGATGTTCTTGATCGTTTCGAAAGCCATACAGCAGCTTCTTGTTCAAAGAGAGCGGCAAGTTCAATATCCGATAAAAGATTAAGATTTCGATAGATATATCCACCAGATGCAGTACATAGTTTACGAAACTCTTGAGCTTTGGTAGTTTCATTCTTCTTTATCAATTTTTCATCGCGTACAAATGAAATAAAATCGATTATGATATTATTTGTTATTATTAAATCATATAAAGTTTGAATTTTTGTATCACCAGAATTATTGATACCATCAGAAAGACATATAATCAGTTTTTTACAATCTTTGTTTGCTCGCAATAGACTGTCAGTAAATGTTTTTATTTGTTTTATTGCTTCACGAATAGCATCGTACATACATGTCCAATCTCCACGACAATCATCAAAACTAAGTGCTTTTTCAAATTGTTCACGACTTCGAGTAAGTGGACAGACTGTTTTATATTTTGTTGCGAATTCAATAAGACCAAATGCATGAACTTCATTTGTTGAAAGTATATTATCACTCAGTCTGCCTAACATCATTCGACAGATATCCATATGAGTACAATTTTCATTCTTATCAGACGATGCAATACGATAATCGGACATCGATCGACTACGATCAAGAAGAATTACACTTACTTGAGTTGCTGGAACAGAATTATTATTATTTAATGAAGAATCGACATTGACTCTAGTAATATTCAGAGCGTCATGGAAATAAAGAGGTAAACGAGGATCTTCTAATGCTGCTTTATCATCGAGGAATGTGTCAGATCCTACTAGAAGAGATTGATTATCCATTGTACATTTGAAAGGATCAAATATTTGGAAGAAATGATTAACATCTCGTGATGTTCTTCTATCCGCATATATATAACATTTTTTGGTGAAAAAATTAATGCTACTGTATGATCTTCGTGTAAAAGAACGAGCTGATTTTTGACGTCAGCATTCACACCACCACGCGTTATTATATTGAATGAACGATATTCTTGTGTTCGTGCTATAGTCTTATATAGCTCTTTTATTTGAATATCTGTCCAATATTTAAGCGAGTTCAAAATAGACTGATCTTGAATTATTGGATCATATATAACATAATCATCGCATCTATATGGAATTTTGAAGGAAATTTTGCTTAGTTTTGAAAGATATGATGTCAACGATCGGATGTCAACATGATATTGTAGAAGATCGTAATCGTTTATCACGTTGCATTCTTCTAATAGCAATGTTTGACGTTTGATTTTTGATGTTGTAACAGGATTTTGAAAATAAGATGGTTGGCATTTTTGGTCATTGATCAGTCTTACTTCTCGAAAACAGTCTACTTTTTCTGCAGATAGATCACATTTTTCGAGAAGTCAACAAATCAATAAAGGTATAAAATCAAAAATTTCTTCGACAAAACCGGTGTTTGGATCACGTAAATAAATAAGTAATTGTATCAATCCGTCCATAAGTAATGATTTTTCAAACCAAAACATTGAACCAACGATTGCATGTTTCAAAGCACGAATGGCTGGTGGAAATAAATATTTTCTTAGTTCAAGAAAAAATTGTGCTTTCATAGCTAGTTGTTTGGCTATTAATTCTCGATGTTCTGGTCTAAAATACATTCGTAATACATATAGACTACTGAGAAAGATACTTTGAGATCGTTTCGACTGTTTGTACTCGATAAAATAAGATGGACACCATGAATCTGAATTGCAAAAAAGAGAAATATAATCATTATCAAAATTGTACATAGACACAGCTTGTTCCAGTGATAAACCATAAATATAAAAGTCTGTCGAATCATTTGACGATGGAGATAAAGGCGGTGTGAGTAGAATAAAATCCTTTACTAACGTTATGGAATCACTTTCGATAAATATATGAAGTCGATGATTGAAAAGAAGAAGAATGTGGGAATCTTTTGTGTAACGTTCTATATTGAATTGAATTTCTCGCCAAATAATAGTGATTAGATCTTTCACAGTAGTTTCAATAGGAATTTTGACAGAAAGTTTTCGAAATAAAGTGCGCATACGAACATTTAATGATTTTGTGTCAATTGAACTTGCTGATGCATGATTGTCATCATGAATTGTGTTAACAGATGTAAGTAGAGAAGATACCATCGGTTTTTCTTCGGAAATCACATCTGAGTTATTTTGAAAGCCAGACTGTACTGATCGTGTGATACTAGGAGCCAACTTTTGATTACGCTCACTTTTTAGAAAAAATTTTCTAGACTTGGGTAGTATGTCATTATCATTATCACTTTCTTCGGCATTTTCTGAACTTGAAGATGTACTACTATTGAAAACAAGTCCTTTATTCTTGCAGAGTTGAAAATGCCGTGTTTTTAGTGATGTATAACTGTGTGACGGACAGTTTTCGTTAGATTGTATTATACTTATATTAACTGATGGATTGGGTCTTGGTGTTTTGGAAACTTTGTTATAATGATTAACTGAAGTTGGACACTGATCAAATGATTTATCAACTATTTCGAAGTTAGGAAGATCTTCAGTTTGTTGAAGTAGAACAGAACTATCAGGAAGTACTTGATTATTAAAAGCGGATCTTATTGGAGTTCTTATATATGGCAAAAATCCTGTATCAATTTTCTTTTTCGATCCCAACAGTTGAGAATTGAGACGCGATGTATGGATGTCATGATACGAACGACATGATTCTGGAGAATCTTGATGTACATGATTGAGGTTTATAGATCCATTATTACTCTGCAGAGCATGTCTACTTTTTGGCCTAGAATGCTCGTTTGTGTAATGCTGTTCAAATTGACCATTGGTTTTTAATGCTTTCGCAGATTCTACTAAATATACATTGAATTAAATTTCAGTTTGAATAAAATCGATGTGCAGTCAGTAGAATTCAACTAGAAAATTACTATTAACAATAATCTATACTTGACTAGATTGATCAGCGATGAAATAAATTCACCTAGACATCAAATAGATGATGTGTGCATCGATCTGCCTTGTTGCAGCAATATATGCTGAAAAATGGGCTTTTGATTGCCTAATATCTGTCATTAACTTCTATCTAATGAAGCACAACTGATACTCTGAGATTCAAGAGATGACTTTCAAGCTTCAATAGTAGTTTTTACTGATTTAGAACAATTGTTCCATGGTTCCGAACAAGTGACAGATGAAGGCATACATTGGGTTAAGCATATAATTGATCAGATTAATCTTATGGTGTGTGAGAGATTTGGAATCCTTGAAAAATAATGTCAAAACTGTGAAAAGATTAATTAGTAGAATGGGAATCGTGAATAAATTCAATTGATTATATACTTAGTCTAGAACATAGCTTCATCAACTACTCTTTCGTACTCATAAAACAGTGATTCTAAATTAATGATTAAACGATATTTTTGCAGTCTTAATATCGTTTCTTGAATCTAAGAGTCTCACTTTAGTTTAAGAAGAAGGTAAATCGACGAACAGATCATCGATCTAATATTTAGATGAATATATCGAATCTAATGAAAATTTGTTTTAGTTTTAATGAGTGTTATATGTAGCTACAGTTGTCTCTAATTCATTTTTATCATTTAGAAAACTTTTAATTATCTAGTCACTCTTAATCGTCAGTAGTATCATAATACATGAAGGCGTCGACAAAATAATTAAAGTGATAAATGCGAAAGCAACTAATTTAAAAATAAAGATATGACGAGATCTGTTGATATTGTTGAAAGACGCAAATTTTTTTTTCTGTCTTGAATGATCGGCTATTATTGCTCAGAAAAACAGTGCAAAGTAATGGAACAAGACGTAGAAATTTACCTCTGTTTCTAAAAAGCTCTATAGTATTTTGAAAATAAAAAAGAAAATATCTGACCTTGATTTTTATTTTGCACTAAAAAGACTTTGCCTAACCAAGAGCTTATTCGATGTAATAATTGAAAACCATCTGTTTGTTTGTTAACATCATCAGCAACTTGTTTTATTATCTCTTCGATATCTTTATTAGGTATTGTAATATGTTTTAATAGATTTTCCATAAAACTCCCATTTCTATTATTACGCGTTTCATCTTGCACTGCATTACCCGGAGCACGAGCAAATACAATAAGAGTTTGTGATGATCCATTCATGAATAATAGATTATGATTTGAATTCATCGATCGAGTACGTATCATGTGTCTGCAGCAATCAAATAAATATATTTCCACACGACATTTTTGACGATTGATTTTTTCTATTATATATTTGATGTTAATAGCATGTTTGATGATATAGTCTTGTTCATTTTCTCGATAATCATAATAATAATCTACTGGTAATAAATAATCCTCATCTTTGATTTGTTTACCATGACCAGCAAAATAGAATAAAATCAAATCATCCTGTTGAATTCTATTAGTGAATGTATCTATTATACTGTAGAATTTATAAAGATTGCAATCAATTCCAAGTAATACATGAAAATCAATTCGCTGAAGAATTTTTTCTAGATCTTCGGCATCATTGATACAATATTCTAATGGATTACGTAGATAATTATTGATACCAATAATTAAGGCATGCTTTTGCCGATAAACAACAGACGATGTCATTGTCCTAAAATGTGATAAGAAGAGAGATTTGTTTGATGTTTCTGATCATATTTATATTTGGGAGAAAAATTTCTTAGCAAGCATTTTATTAATACTAAATACTCATACAGCAATATAGGAAACAGTTTGTGCGTTTGCTTTCTAAAAGAAATTTTTGTTTCCTTCTTCAGACGATGCTGATTTGATTCAACATGAATCTTTTATAATGTGTTTGACGAAGACATACTGACAATGGTTTGTTTCGTTGTTTTTTCTACCTACATGATCCACTTCACAATAAGAGAAAGAAAGGAAAAAAATAGTTTACATGTACATTATTAACTAAAAGACTGACTTTATTTTTATGCTTTTTTTGAAGCACAAAGTACAGAAGTATACTAATTTAGCTGCACTTAATAGGATAATGATTAACTTATAGTCTAGTTACTAACTCTTCAATTATTACATGTCTATTATTGATACAGGTAGTTGAATCAATGGAGAATCGAAGAAACAAGCATAAATTATCATATTCAACAGATTGAAATAAAAACATATGAAACAGTACAATCAGATTTGTTAGTTATCCAAAGATTTTAGATACAAATCTAAAGTTATTCTCATTGATGAACTATAAACATCTTCATACTAATGAAATACAACAGAAATTAAAATTATCATATCGTAGATAGAAAAATCAAGATATCTGCATTCCAATTCAGTTAAACGAGCTGATTTTTTGGCTGACAGTAAAAAGTTTTATTCAAATTGTTGCACAATAGGGTCACACAATATGGGATTAAGAGACGTGTTGCTATAAAAAAAAAGTATTTTAACAAAACATATAAAGTATGTTAATGCCGTTGTAAGAGTCAGTGACGAAAAGCAAATAAGACGTGGGTGTTACACTACTTTGTGTTTCTTCTGCTATGACTTATAAGAGTTGGTTTTTTCCAACTTGAAAAAAACAAGGCAGAATCAACAACTGGTACAAAAAATGTCGAAAATCACTATACGATGTATTTGAACTTTTTTTTATAAAAGAAATTTCGAAGATACTGTCATAGAAACTAATAAACGAAGAATACTCACGAAAAAATATTCTTTCGATAGAAAGCAACATATAAACTTTCAATAGCCACGTGTTGAAGATCCTATTAGATTAGATAATCGTTGAAATCGGTTGTATTTATTGCGTGTGAGTGAGTTAGCTATAGAAGTAGATGAAAAAGAAACCAAGAAAAAAAATATCGAAGAATAAATATAAAAGAATGAAAGAATATTATCAAGAGTCGATCTTTCATTCATAACTGTGAAATAAGAAGGTTTGATGACAATCTTACGTTTTGTCTGCATACTTTTGTAGACGAACAACGAATTGAACAGGAGAATTCATACTATACAATTATCTGTGAAAACAAAGGAACTCCAGAAGAAACTCAATGAAATTCTCATGTCAAACTGTGTTTCAAAAAAATGACACCAACATTTGATATTATTTATTCGTATTTTACACTGGTCTTACGTGAATTAATAACACGATAACCTTATATCAAGGTGGGTTTTCTAGAGCGCATTCGATCAAAATAAGTTTATTCAAGGATCAAGGAATGACTTTTCATTGTTCTAGTTATAAAATTCAAAGAAATGTTCGATTTGTATATGTGAATAGGCAGATCTGATTATATTAGTAAAGTAATTCAATGTAATTTTGAAGTTATCAGTCTTCTATTGAAATTTATGATCTGAAGTTTCTGGTCGGATAGGAATGTAACAATCCCAACTTCAATTAATTCTGAAAAAAAATTCGAATCCTCGATCGATGCGAACAACACTATGTTTTGTCCGTAAAAAAGTGAAGAAAAAAACCCCTACTTATAACAAAAATATGTATGCTATATCTCAAATAGATTACACATATTCGGGTCAAATTAAAAGTTTTACTGCCAAACTACCATATTTAAAATATTACATGTTCATAGCAAACCAGTATATTTTGCCCTGAAAATAGTGGATAAAACTTTTCTGATTTAGTTTTACATCTCAATTCCACATACCTTGAAATTTAAGTAACTTGTTCTAACTACACTATGGGCACATAATATTTAAAATTTGTTAGTTTGACAATGAGGTCTTTAATTTGAGCCGAATATGTCTAATCTCGATAGAGGGTGAATTGCTACATGAGAGAGTCATAATTTACAGTCTTAAATTGCTTGAAAGTTGATTTAAATCAGTGATTAGTTATTTCAATCTTTTTATCATTTTGTCATATTAACTTATTGGTTTCATAACACGATCGATATAACAGGTCATTATTTAGTTATCTTCTAAGCAATCTAAGTCTATAGATTATGGCTATGTTCTTTGTGATTTGTATTGAAAAATGAAGAATATTTTAGATGATATCAAAACAGTAAAGTTAAATTCAGATCTTGTTGACACATTCAATACAAGAATAAGTTAATATGAAACTGATTTTGATGAATGATGCAGTTTAGGAGGGTTGCCAACAATAACAATAAAGGGCTCGATCTTTTGCCTCTGTAATAGCTCGATGGATTTGGAACTTGCTAAAAATCAAAAAATTCTCTTCTGTATGATCTCGTAGCCAAGGTTGAAACTGGGACAAGTTCACTAATACAAGTATATGAAAAAATTTCAAAGCTTTGTCGTATAGTAACCGGCAGATGTAAGGTGGCAAAGATGGCTAAGATAGGCATTTCATTTCATTTCCGCTAACGAATATCTGCAGAACATGAGGGAAACAACTATTTCACTTAAAATTTTTTTGATGGCAGGTTCACAAACTTTAAATATTCACGTAAAGATTGAGCTCAACTCATAGATCTGTTCTCGACATAATAGGTTTGCGCCGGACATCATCAAATAGGTCCCACTATCGCATATGTGGCAATCAATGAAATCGGAAATGTTCGAATGTGCACACTTTAATAATTTAGATCATGACTTCCATGCAATAATTTTTAAATAATTGGCTCTAACAAGATTATCGTGCAAACTTCTCTTTTTGAGTAGTAAATTTCTATTCATAGTTAAGAATTGTAGACAAAATGCGTGTATTCTATACATTGAAAAATATATTTACAATTGAAATTACAATAATTTCCTATTTAAAAAGTTTTCTTCATTGTAATCAACCTTTCGCCATTCTGCCACTTCGAAAGCACCTTGTGCCCTCTTCATCGCTCTAAGTCCATGAGTTACAGGGCATATATCTCCCATATACCCATTACAAATATGGTTTCCATGTTTTCGTCGGTCGGCATACTTTTTCGGACAACATCCACAGCTCAAAGATCTGCGCGGTAAACCATGGTTTGTGTATGCCCATGCACGCCAATGTCGTGCTTCAGGATGTTTCTCCCGCCGCTGACGCGTAAAAGCAATGTGTGTATTCCAGCGTTGTATACGAGCACGTGATTTAGCTTGGTCAAATATGGTGTCAATATCAAGTTTGTTTGTCATTGAGAAATGTTCTAGAAGATAAACTTGAATGGTATTTAAGTTAACTATAACACTCCTTTAACTTACCTAATTTTCGGTATCTACAGCACGAAACAAAAAACACAGCGTATTTCGCTTCTACCTTGTGTAATTGATAAAAACGTTATCTTACTTTTATTTGCAATGACTCATGACCATTTATGACAAATAGAACAGAATACAAAATAACGTATATACGACAAGTTATATTCTTTTTACTCCCACTTCTTCGTCATAGTGGTGCAAGAACACATCATCCGACGCTGAATTATCATTGAAATGTCCTGCATACGCAATAACATTGGGATGAATCATAATGATCGATAAATTATTAAAGATCAGTATTCTATTAAGAATCTTTATCGTTTCTTCTCAGATGACGATCAAAGTAGTATATAGACAACATTTGATTATGTTGGATTTCTACGTTGATAACCGTAAAGTAATTTTACACTACAATAAGATCAGTATGTGTCTTATATAAAACTTTTGATGTTCACTTCATAAGTGAATAGACTATTGCTTCATAAAGATAAAATAAATCATATCTACGAAAGACTGAGATTTTCATCTCGATCTATTTCAACGTTATGACCATAATACCGATCGTATTTCATCGTGTTTTTGTCAATTTTAACTTTCGCACAGCAGTTTTCAAACTATTAATGTTGCTATTTTTGATCATGACGAAACGATTGGCAATGCTCATCTTGCTACACAATTTTGAGTCGTTTTCTATCTTAATATCACCACTGGTGATCTTATGATACTACTTTTTTAATATGATCTCATTGTTAACTTGAATAAATATACCAGTGTTCGACTTTGAGTGTTAGTCGGAATATAGGTTTTTTTATCTAATAGCTCAGCCACAGTGTGTGGGAAAGCTTTGTCACTGTTTTCTCTTTATTGACAAAATGATGAGAGAACTCTCAAGCATAATTTGTGATAGAAATATAAACAGAAGGTACGACATTAAAGAAGAACCATAGTTGAAGATGGTATAGAGTAGAGATAACAGAATGAGTTACAGATTCAGATGAATTTTTGACATCGCTAAACTCTCCTAACGGAAAAATTCTCGAAGATAATAAAACGTATGTTATCACCGTTGATTCTTCATGCAACTACCACTTTGAATCGATAAGACAATAAGAGTAATGTCGTATTTTACCGTTCTCGTTAAACTATACCTTATAAATATAAAAACTGCGATTATTGGACAAATGAACGCATAGATCAACATTTTTCGGTTGTACAGAACGAAAAACACAAGAATAAAATAGATGATTGACTTCTTTTACGAGTTTCAAACCTCAAGTCTGGAAACTCTGTTTTTTTTCTATGATTTCATGAGATAATTTCATATAGTTCAGAACTCTTCTTATAGTCAGGTATAAAATATCGAGTCTATTAAAACAGACAATTCTTGAGGATGGGTGTGAGTGTGGGTGTATTTCATTTCTTTTGGCACCCACACCCAATCCAGCTAATCGAGATTTTTTAATATCTAGCTTGTACGATAATTAAAGGTATTAAATACAGCAACAAAAATCCAAAAGCTCGACTACTTATCTTGACCGAATTATGAATTTTTCAATTTTTCCGGGTCTTATGGAAGAAAATTAAAAAAATCGACATAATTCTAAAAAAAAAGAAGAATCATAGACATGAACGCTTTTACCTCTTTTCTTATCTCAACATACTCTATCAAATGAAATACGAATGAATCAAAATCAACTTGAGTATCTGGTGTTCTTCTCTCGTAAGTAAATCCGTTGGATTTCCGAAAAAGACGTTTGGAATATTCATGACCTTCTATTACGTCTATCCATTACTTAGCAATGCATTTTGTAGAGAAATGTTCGTCCTTTCAGTCTATGTAATTAAAAGCATGCTACTGTTGTTCATAGCCAAGATTTTTTAAAGAAAAACGGTCGGAGTTCAGGCTCGGATCGGGTCAGACCCGAAAAATCTGAACCTAGACCATTTTCTTTTAAAAAAATCTTAGTTATGAACAACAATAGTGTGCTTATAATTACATAGACTGAAATAGCAAGCATTTCTCTACAAAATGCATCGTCAATTAATGGATTAGTGTTCAAGATTATGCAATGGCTAGTAATTCTTTCGTCGATTCCAAGAAATTTTTTTGGACTCGATGCAACTCTCTAATGTCACATCCTTTATTGGATGAACAAAATTCTCTATTACATCAATATTATTTAAGTTTTGGCTTTATAGATGTACCAATTATTGATCAAAGTCATCATATGATTTTTGTAGTAAAACAATTTAAAAATTTTCTTCTCTTTTTCTTTTTGAACATTTTTTTTGCTTGAATATATTCATTTAAATAAAATATATTCCAATCATGTTTTTATAAGTATTAGTTTTCGTATTTTCTGTATTCATTTAGTGATATATCTTATAATGTATAAATATATTAGACAATTTTATTTGACAATTCGAATATTGAAAAAATATTTAGATTTTTTATGTAACAAAGATTACTACAATATTTTTGAATCAAGCGTCAAATTTGTGAATTGTGCATCCACGATGAAGGAGTGCAAGTTCAATAAAACTCATGTCTATTATTGATGCAATCAGTCTTCGAATGATATTCAATATGGGTGTGTGAGTGGTTATGGGTCTGTGGTGGATGTGGATGTGGGTTCGGGTGTGCGGGTATAAATAGAAGAACTACTATCACTTAGACCCACATCCACATCCTTGCCACTCCATGTGTATACATGTTGACTAATGGACTATGATCCATAGTATAATAGGTTGAGCGTAAAAATGTCGAAAGAAAATATGTCAAAAGAGAAAAAGATCAAAGTGGAATAATGTCGAAAGAGAGAAGGGAAAATGTCGAGAAAAAGAATATCGACGCGAAGAATAATCGAAAGTGTTTTAAAAAATTCTAACTAGCGAAGAACATGCTTTATTTTATAGGTTGATGTTAACATTTTAACAAAGATCAAATATAAGTTAAAAGATAAAAAAGAAAAAATTGATAATCTGTCATTTTTTCTATTTAGTAACTGTAAATGATAAACCATCTAAATATTTCATAGCATTTATAACACCATCATACTATCATTCGCCCAGATGGTCCATGCCCCGTTGAATCGCAATTGTTTTGGCTTTTTTTTAATCTTGCTCCTAAACCTGTATGTTGATTATTCAAACGTGTATGAATTCTTGTTGAATATGTTCTAGGTATAGATTTTCAATATTTGGTAGTTGTTGTTTTATTCGATTTGAAAACATATGCATTTGCTATGAACAAAGGCTTTCCTTTTTGTGGATTAATAAATGAAATAGTTGACAATTGTAATTGAGTTACATCTGTTGAAGATCGAATAGCTGCAGGCATGACACTAGATATTTAGTTATATAATAGTTCTTTGTTCGACTCTACTAGTAGAATTATAACGAAAGCAACAATAAACTATAAACGTTTAGAATCACTATTTACTGGAGACATCTTTTTTTTCGATATTTTTCCAGCACATCGTATGATACATCTCCTTTTCCAAGAAAAATGATTACTTTATTACATAACAGAATTCTGAATAGAATGGCATGAGACGAAATAATTATTCTATGTCATTCTATGGGATTCTCAAAAAGAAAATTTCACCTCATCCTTTATCTCAACTTCCTTTATCCTTTCATGTTTATATCAGTTTATTTGACAATAGATTTTTATATTCAACACATATATCCTACTAGTTTCGTCGAGAAAGAAATTGCCAATCTATGGTATTAGGATCTCGGTAAACATCAATGAATACAATAGTGAATTCGTCAGAAGTCATAAAAATGTGAACTTACTAGACTTTGTCAGAATCTAGGCTCTATTTTTTTTTCTTAGACGATTTTCGTTCTATATCTTTACTCATTAGACATTGATAGCGTTTTCTTTGCAGTGCATTTTTATCATAAATTATCAGCTTCTGATGAATTTTGTTACTTTTCTCAGATTGTTGAGAATTACGTAAGATTTTTTCATATTCTACGATGCATTCTAGTAAATTTATTTTTAAATCTTGATGGGTTCTGTAGAAATCTATAATACATGGCATTCAGTAGAATTTGTCATCTATCGATTACTTCACTTTAAAACAAAGAGTTATAAAAAATTGTATTGAAAATTGAATTGAACTCAAGATTCTTGATAACTATGGTTGTTTAGCCATGTAATCAATATTTATGCAAGAGTGTATTAACAAATAGAAGGTAGGATGCAGCACATAGAAATCCACAAAAACAGTTTTTAAGTTTCATTATTTAAGCTTCTGGAAAACGATTTTCATGAAAAAAGTGTACAAACAAATCTACAACAAATCTAGTTGTTTTCAAAGAATAACATCACCAGTGAGGATATAAATAATTCCATCACTGGCACTCCTATAAAATGCTTGTTGAAACCATATTTCAACGAAAGAAAACTTAGATGTTTTCATGATAAGAGAAGAAGAATTATTCCATGGATCAAAGAGATCGCTCCATTCTTTTCGAAGCTCTGTTACATAATTAATTGCTGTTGATATTGCTATTTCAGAAGAGAATTATCGAAAAAAAACAAAAATGTCTAACAATGATAAGAACAAAATTTCAATTGAAGCACCGATCGTACCTGATGGTGGATGGGGATGGCTCATTGTCTTTGCATCATTCATGATCCATTTCGTTATGGACGGGTAAACGATATTTTTCTCATGTCTTCTCCAATTTCATATTAAAAAAAAAATAGGATAACGTATTCCATGGGTCAAGTGTTCTTAGAACCCATGAGAAAGGAACTTTCTCTTGATCGAGCTTCGGTGTCAAGTATTTTTGGTATTTTGCCAGCGGTCACTCTCGGTGCAGGTCAGCTATTATTTCATTAAATTAAACATTGTTTTTTGATAATTATGTTTTTTTTTAGGACCAATTGCTACCGTTCTCACTAATATGTATGGATGTCGTACAGTGGCTATAGCGGGTACTTGTATTGCTTCTCTTGGTTTTTTTCTTAGTCGAATGTGGGCCAATATCTGGTTTTATTATATTACAATTGGTGTCATCGGAGGTACGCTCCTTCATAGGTAGAATCGATATCGATACTTGATCAGTACAACTAGTTAGATTGAAATCTTTCGAGAAATGCTCATTTTGTCAAGCAAAAAAGTAGCATTTGAAACCTTGAAAAGTTTAAAAAACTTGTCAGTACAGCTCCTCTTGGGGCCAAAGTGCGGAACTCACAATCTTTGGTTGTTATAAATTTATGATATGTTGCCGAAAATTTTAAAACAACTTATTAAAAAAAATATCAAATACATGAATAAATCAAAATTATAAGAATTTTTATAGTTGATATGCGCGCTCTGAAATTTTATTTTGTTGAAGCCGCATATTGATAATTACTTTTCTATCAATTTATTCCATTCATTTAACATCCTAATGTTGAAAAAAAGTTATTTTTATTGTCCGATACATCTTCAATACATAACTTCTATTTACTTAATAAATAATATCTATACGATACATGTAAAATATTAGTTATTAATTAATTAATTCACCGTTTTACTAATTAGCTAGTTAATTGACTTGTTTGTAACAACCTGTAATAAGTGGCTGCTATGGTCTGTAATGGAGAGGATTGCTAATGTCTGTAATGAGGGCCTAGGAGGAACCGCAAAACCTCGATTTAAAACTTATACTTACTATTTTCTTCGAAAATAGGAAGCTTCATATTGGTTGTATCTACATATTAATTGTTTTCTTAGCTTTATTCATGCGTTAATATTTCTAGGCATAGGTTTTGCATTAATGTACTTGCCAGCCATTGTCTCTGTTGGATTTTATTTCGAACAAAAACGTACATTTGCTATGGGCGTAGCTGTATGTGGTTCAGGTGTGGGTACATTTGTACTTTCCTATGTTATTAATGGAATCGTCAATATACGCTCTTGGCTCAACTATAAGAGTGCATTGCTCGTCGAAGCTTGCATCATCTTATTTGGCCTTCTATGCGGCTCTTTAATGGTAATTGATTTTGTTTTCTTTATAATTCTCAATCATCAAAGGCGATAAGAATCATAGATGTAGTAATATCGATTTAAAAGTCTAATACAATACGATGTAGCTCGACAGATAAAAAATTTAAATTGTTTCTCATGTTCCTAGTTTTCAAGATGATATTAAATCTATAAGATCAAAGATTCGATATTGATTTCTTAAAATAAAAAGACGTCTTTCAATCATCTTTAAAGACAATAACGACGAATGTTTTGTCTAGGTGCCTCTACCACAAGAACCCAGCGAACAACGACGACTAGAACGAAAAACACGTAAACAATTCAAGCAAAAACAGATCGCTCAATGTCTTGTTTCGCAGAATGTACCTACAACATCAGACAATAGTGGTGTCGACGGTAAACTTGTCTATAGAACTTGTTTTTTCGCATCTATTAATATGATTTCATCGATTGTTTTCTTTGCAAATAGCCGAACCGATGTTGCCAGTTATTGCCATTGAAAAATCACGAAGTAAATCTTTTTTTCATCAAATAATTGAACAAATCGATCTTAATCTACTCAAAAATTCTACATTTACACTATTTATTATATCGAACTTTTTGACAAGTCTCGGTTTCAATGTCGTGTACAATTTTGCTGATGATCTTGCAAATGATTCCAATGTTATAAAAGATCAACGATCATACATTGTTATGTCAATTGGTTTGTCGAACATTTTCGGTCGTCTTATTATTGGTTATTTCGGTGATCGAAAATGTGTAAGAAAATTTTTGTGATATGAAAAGTTATATTTGGTAAAATTATTTTCATTTTGCAGGTAAATCGACTTCTCTTATTCATTCTAACGTTGATTATTTCCGGTGTTGCTACTATGATAGCTCCACTATGTGGTTCTTCTGTTATTTCTCATATAGGCTATGCGTCTTTTTTTGGTTTTTTTTCGGGTGGTTCTGTTACTTTAACAGCAATTGTTCTTATCGATATAGTCGGCATTGATAAACTATCTGATGCATTTGGTGTTGTTTTACTTTTTGTCGGCGTTGCAACTGCTATTGGAACACCAATTGTTGGTGAGTAGTGACTTTTATTTTTCGGTCACTTTTTTTAATGCTTCTTTAAATATGTCCTATTATCTAGGTGGAATGCGTGATGCATTTTCTCATTTTACTCGACCTTTTCTTTGGCCCTATCTTATTTTTGGCAGTTGCACTGTTATCAGCGGTGTCATACTATTTGCAATTCCGTTTTTACAACGAAAAAAGCCAAGTGACGTTCACATAGAAATGGATGTTAATAAATTCTACTCTGGAAAAGATCGATTATCTCAAGAACAACAGCAAAAAGTCTAATTGTTTGCATGCAATTTCATTGTCTGTGCTCATAAAATTGGATACAAATTAATGCTCAACAAAAAAAAAACACTAAATTCGTATCGACATCTATGTTGGTCGTTCAACTTAATTTTCTCTATTTTGTATATAGAATAAAAATTCAACTTTGAATATTTTTCTTTGTTCATTTTTGCGAAAATAGTCAACTACACAAGGGTGTGAGTACTTGCGTATTGGGTGTGGGTGTGAATGTAGAGAAGGAAGAGATATGGACGCCCACAACCGAGGTATGTTCAGATTTCCAAAAAAGGAAATTACCCAAATTTCTGAAATTTCCATCAGCTCGATAACTATAAAGTAGTATAAATCAAAGGTTTTTAGACATATTGGAAATTTTAGAAATTTCTGTAAGTACATAATTACAGACATTTTGGAAATTACATTATTTTAGGAAGTAACGTAAAATTCAGAACACAAATGCTTGAAATCTTCGATACTTATGAAATTTCCTTTTTCGGAAGTCTGAACACTGCTGGATAAGACATGATGGCAACACCTCTTACTTGAAACGAAGGGTTTAAAGTCTTGTTTTTATTTAGATACTGGGGGAAAATTCTATAAAATTACCAATCAGTAGATCGACCAAATGCTTTTCGATTTTTAAAACTAATGAGATATCTGGGACCAGTCATGATAGCAGTTGACTGTGTTTTTGATGATGTCAATGTCACAAGATTCGATTGATTTTCGAGTTCAATATTTGAATCATAAACTACAAATGTGCTTTCATTTTCCAACAGTACATCATAATAATACCTCAAATTTTGAGCAGTGCGGTTATTTTCACTGAATGCATTAATTCTGCCAACATTAAACAATCTCATTGTAACAGTATAATACTTTTTATGATGTGGTGTCTCCGTTAATACCTTCCGTGCTAAATGAAGATCATGAAAAAAACAAAATTGTTTTAATCTTTCAAATTCCATTTTTGATCGATGAGGTATTTTGTAATGAAATTCAAAATAATTTGATTTTGGATTCCAAAATAATATTTTATCAATATCACTTTTCGGCACACCATTATTCGATGATGATGTTTCAATTTTTAACATTTTAATATTAAAATCTTTGAATTGCAAATCAACAAATGTTTTAATTTCTGCAAGGATATTCGGATATATTCCAACATAATCAAATGATGCTATTAATACTTGATCATTATCTAAATTAGGTTCTAATGCATTTTCTTGACAAATATTTAAAAATTGTTCGATATTATTTTTGTCAAGAGTAACATGAACTCGAAATGTTCCATTAATAGTATTCGTTGGTACAAGTTCATTGATAATTGTTTTATATTCATCATTTTTGCTTTGAATATAATCAATAACAAAATCGAAATTTTTCTCATTATTAATAAAGATCTCTTTGATTTCGAATAGTATATGCGATACTCGTTTGAAATCATAGATAGATTTTGTTCGAATTAATTGTTCACCAATATCCAAATATCTTAGACCATGAAAGAGATCTTTCAATAATCGATCTTCTTCAATAGTTGTAGTGCGAACAGCATTACATAAAAATTGATCCATAGTTGTGTCTTGGACATAATTTGAACATTCTTGATTATAACTGTCAATAATGTATGTAAAACTTTGTTTATTTTCATAAAATATCACTTGTTTTAATCGTAATGGATTGTAATATTTCGATAAATAGATTGTTTTATAATCAATCTTATTTCGTAGAATAAATTCATCGGGATAAAAAATACATTCAACAACTAACATATAATTTTTTTCTAATAATAATTCAAAATTAGCACAGGAATGAATAGTTACATCCCAATCTTTCAATCAATGTAATTCAAATGAATGAAAATAATCGAAATCTTTGCGAAATTTTAAACGTTTTTGATATTTTTTACGACTATCTTTGATTACAAAAAGAAAATCACGATCAGATTTCAAATGATTTGTACCATAAACCCATGAACCATAATTATAGATATTAGTTATTTGTTCATCATTTAATTTAAGTTCTTTGATAATAGCTGAAACGGTTGCTTCCATTGGGATCTTTTGTACGAATATGAGAAAATAATATATGAAATTGTGTTACGGTATTTATACTTTTCAAATTGTCTTATCATTTCATCAGCAATAGTTGCGCAACGAATTGAAATCTGCAGGTAAAGTTGTAATTTGATGTTGTACCTACGTGGCAAGAAATAATACGAAAAGAGAATGAAATTTATGAGATTCTTTACTTTTGAACTAACAAATGAGGGTGGGGTGAGGATGAGGGGCTGAGGGTGTGATAAATAAATTGAATCAACAATAGGTATGAGCAGCGAGAAATAACTAATGTATAAATAAATATATATATAAATTTTAAATCTTTTTTAATGTTTTAATGAATAAGTGAATGAATGTATCGAATAAATAAATAAGTAAATAAATGAACAAATAAATAAATGAATGAATGAATAAGTGAATAATGGATAAATAATAAATGAATATATAGATAAAGAAAAAAAGAAATTTTTTATGTATTTAGTTTTATTTTTATGTGTTTTTGGTATTCTTTTCTTAAATGTTTTTAAGAAAAGAAGAATTTTATTATTTTTTAAGAAATAAACAAAAGTAAGCTACTTTTGGATAAGATAAGGAAAAAGAGCTTTTTCTAACTTGAACGAGAGTATTTAGTGAATAAAGAAGCATCAAACTTGTTTTTTAATTTTTTATTTAATTTTTATTTGAATAACACAATAAATTGCAGTAAGCGACGCGTTTTGAATTTTCTTCAGGCTATATGACTATCTATTCATTCTGTCTAACTTTCTCTCGTTCCTTTGTTCCTTCTCGTCTAATCGTACTTTTTCTTTATCTATCTAACTATTCGTCTATCTAACTCAATGGGATAACTCATCTCAAGGGGAATAAACTCAACTCAAATGGAAAATATTAACTCGAAATTATAAAAAACTACTTTGAAAATACAGATACAAAATACAGTAAAAGAAAATACAAAAAATACAAAACAACTATTAATAGTTCATATGTCGTTGGAGCGGTTGTCGCGGTTGTCGATGTATCTATAATAGAAAATTAAAAAAGCGAGTATCTGTTTTTAAAATAGTTTCTTATAAAAAAATTCTACTTCTTATTCTAAATTCTCTATCAAATTTTTAATTACTGTTTTTGATGGTTTCTTATGTACTAGAATACTCTTTAAATTATCTGTTAAACGATGCGCAAAAATTACTGAAATATCACTCAGTAGAGTTACTTCGAAAATCTCTTGCCAGAGTGAATGAAATTTCGCCTCAAAACGTGCTAAATTCGGTGTATATGTAAAATGTAATAAAATATCTTTATTAAAATCTATTCTCTTCTTATCTTTATTAAAATCTATTCTCTTCTTATCTTTCTTATTCCATTGTGGATCTAAAATCTTATCTCTAAATTCACTGTGTTTCTCACTTAACAATAATTTTGAATCTTTCTGTCCTGTTAATGCTTCGAAAAATCTATTAAAATGTTTATCTATAAAAAAATGGTGGATACTTATTTAATAATAACATAATTCTAATCTTCTCTATTTCTTCTACTAAATCTACCTTATGCGAACTTATTCTAACTGCTCTTAATAATGCTGCAAACGGTATATTCTTCATGACATGCGAAGGATGTGCTGAATTGAATGGTAGAATACACGGTTGTGCAGCTAACTTACGATATACTCTAGTTCTAAAATTTGATACTTCTACACTTATTCTAACATCTAAATAATCTACATACTGTCCTGTCTCAAACGTTAATCCTATATTCTTATCTTTCTTACCTAATTCACTTAAAATATTCTCTATTTCTACCTTACTCCGATTTGTTGTTAAAAATGTATCATCTTTAAATCTAAAATATAACTGATTTTCACTGTTCTGTTGTTTCTTAGACTGTTTTTCCCATTTTCTCATATAAACATCTGCTAAAACCTGCGTACATTCTGACCCCATGGGTTCTTCTCTAATCTGCTTAAAATACTTAACTTTCTCTCCTGACAACTGTAAAACGAAAAAAGCGTTCTCTAAAACATGCTGAAAAAGTATTCTCACTGTATTTATCGATATTTCATTATTAACCTTATTTATCTTATTCTCACCTAACATATTACACATTGCTAAAATTGATTCTTGCTGCGGTATCATTGTATACAAATCCGTTATATCAAATATATATAAAAGAGTCTGATCTATTGTTCCAAAAATTTTTAATTGTTTCAAAACTTCTATACTGTTCACTAAACTATATGCGACACCCACACCCTGGTCGATAGCTGATGAATGAATGATTCAGTTCAAATTTTGTAATTGATAAATATCTTAATCGATCAATTAATAAAAGTAAACCATCACCAGAAGTTAACTTGATATTCAAACGTTCAAGTCGAGGAAAGACAGTGCATAATCGATTTATATCCAACTGTACTCGCACATATCCGTTTGTATCGATGTCTCACATATATAAACTGCATATCTTCTCAAAGACAACATTATTTGACATATAATTCAATACTGATAGATCCCGAAATGAAATCGAATAGAAGACATACGTTTAACACGATTGATAAATGCAAATAACCCAATATCGGTGTTAATTTCATCTATATCGAATACGAGTGATGTTATGTTTGCGAAATGATGAGGAACTGGATTGAGTAATAATATATGAAGGCATCTGATGTATTGATCAAAACAGAAGGCGAGTGACATACATAATGATAACCAATCAATATAAAGATGCATGACAATATTCGATACAAAAGGTGGTACTATGGAGATATGTCGCAAAAATGAACCATGATAGGCAAGACATAACTTTTCTCCTCTTATTGAATCAATGTTTTTCTTTCAATTTTCCAATCGATGCTCGAGCACATAAAATAGACTGGTCTTTCTATTTAACCCTTGTAGTACCGGCCTCTTTTAAGCACTATGCTGACAAAATATGTTTTTATAAAATAATTTTTTTTTACTTTTGGATCAATCTTTTGATGAAATATGGTGTTCTCATATTCTATCTGATAGAAAAGTTATTAGAATGATATCCTTTATTTAGAACAAGTAACACAAAAAATACGTTTAACAGAATGCTCATTACAAACGAATGCAGAACAATCACAATATTGAGTTGATGGTTTCTTGTCCATAGAACATTCACAAATCGAACACCGTTTTCGTTTTGGTTGAGTAGAATTTTCATTTGGTTCTGGTAGATTTATCTTCGTCACAGGATAACCGACAATAGCTAATGCATTTTGAATATCTGTGTTCAAAAATTTTGAGTTTTTTCAGCGAAAATCCAACAGATGCGATACTAAAGCCAATCCTAATTCTTCCAAAAATAATCAACGTTGATATTTTTTATTCCGATTCCATTGAAGATTTCTCGTCTTCCAGACGGCTAGATCGTTTATAGAAGCAATATCTGTCATCCCATAAAAGATACGAAGTGGCCACCACTTTGTACCTCTTTTTTCTCCTTTCTTATCACATATTTGTTGCATACGGAACATATAGTCTTGTATCAAGAGGTTGTAATGAGATGGAAAACAAATGTATCCCCTTTTAGATTCAACAACGTATATCTATTCGTAAGGGATGCTAGTTGCTGCTAAAAACTGGGAAACAGAAAAATATTTCTAGCATATTTTTAAATTTTTGAGGGTGGGGTCAAAAATGACCCCGGCCGGTATTACAAGGGTTAATAATATGATTTATGTTTTCATTTAATTAGATTACAACATGTCTAATCTTATCATTGAAAGTCGTTTTCGTTAGAAAAAAGAATAAAACCGAGTTTCAACGAGCCATAGCTTATCGATCACATTTCGTATATATGATTGCATGAAAATGAATTGATTCCTCCATTAAAACGCATCACCTCATTGCTTTTGTGTGTTGAATGCGTTAAAACATATTCATATCATAACAAATCCATTTTTAACTAGTTCAGTCTTTTGATTCATTATATGAACCAGTTATCAAGCGTTTTTTCTCCACTTTTCTATCTAAACATGTTGAAACACCATTTTGAGCATTGACTTGTCTGCATGGGATCTGACATGTTCCGATAGTAATATTTGAACAAGTTTTATCATGAAAATAACCGTCATTTAATGCATTGGATTCCGATGATTGCCTGAGACTAGGTAGTTTCGGATCACGTTAAATATGAACAGACCGTATCGACCTGATCCGATTGTTTCCAACTTTCTAAATTCTGCCGAAGCTCAGTATATCCAGCATGCGGATTTCAATGGAAAACAGTATAAGTAACCGGCCGAATCTGATCTCCCTGTAGTAGAGGATTTTGAATCCGACCGACACGATCGGACGTATCAAAGTTTGTCTAGGAATGTTTGTAGACACCTTATGTGTCTTTCTGTTCCCTTAAAAAAACCATATCTTTCTGTTATTTTGCCAGTTTCTCTCTTGGATCCCAGCAAAAGAAAAAACAAAATCAGTCTTTTGCTCGGATGCAAAGAAGCTAATTGATGCTCACCATAAACTAATCGTAATTTGATATATCATCGAATTTGCGAGCGCAATATGATACGTGTCATGATTACTTTTCTTATAATTTACGAATATTTGCACCGATACCCTGATAAAAATAAGAACGAAAATACGTTTTGCTGTCGACCATTGCTAGAAGAAAGCGAAAAAAAGGAAGCAGCCTCATATAAAACGCGATCCCATCTTAAAATCATCACACACACAAAAAATACGATTACTGCACACACGCACTTACCCAATATGATGAAACTACTCCTCCTTTTCGCCGTATTACTTTACCTTGGCATGGCGGTAGTCACTCAAGAAGAAGGATCATCAGTATGTTCGGACTTTTTCTGTAAGAGAAACTGCAAATATGGTTATGTGATCCCAGATGCTAACGGGTGCCATAATTGTCAATGCAACCCATGCCAATTCGGTGAAGCTCTGACTATCCCTTGTGAACAAGATCAGAACAGTTGTAAGGAAAACAATGGACTGTGCACGTTTGGC